CAATGAAGGACCCAGTTCTTATCTTCTCACATACAGAGTCCCTTAGTAAATGGTAGGCTCATGTTACTGAGGGTGCCCAATATATAGGACAAGAGAAAGTCATAGGTGCTCACACAAAATAAGAGATTGGAATTCTTACAGGGTCTGGTTTTAAATGACAATTCTGAGTAGGAAAAACTCAGAATTGGGAGAAAAACGGAGACAGAGTAAAGGAGAGCAATTTAGAAATACACCATGTTGTAACAACTGTTTATCAGGGATTTCCAATTCACTCTCTTTGGTAACATACTGTGTTTTCTACCTCAGTTGGTAGGTGGAAAAATAGAGAGTTCTTTTTTCTCTTGTTAAACTCATTGATTTGAATGCCCTTTTAGGATTTAATTCAATGGATCCCAGGAAAAGATTGTTCGCAACCCATGCATCTAACACTTAAAGACAGTTAACCTGAAATTAGCTGATACCAAAAAATCTTACCAATCCTCTTATATGGAGACACACATTGGATCATCATAAAGGGTAAGGGAACTATTTATCTTTCTAGATTCTTTGGGTGCAAACAAAACCCAAATGGAATTTATCTTCCATTGTTTGAAGTGCAGCCTCTTTTGTACCTCTTTAGGGTCTCTGATACTTTCTTGCAGTGACAAGATCCTTTGAGATGTATCCTGAAGAGGGAACCAACCTTTCATTGTTAGCACTGAATGCCCTTTCTTTTTTCTACAAACACAAGCACATTTCACTTTGCTTTGGTCACAAGAAAGACCCATCCTCCCTTTTGCTCTTTCCACACTGCTGATGAGATTTACATATTGTTCCCCTGAGAGGACCTTCTCTTGAAAGTCTGAGATAAAAGGTCAGTAGGAATCTGTCTTATTAAGACTTATCAGTTCAACATCTCAAAATGAGGTTCCCTGCTCAGCTTCTGGGGCTGTTTATGTTCTGGATTCAGAGGAATGTTAGGTGAGCTTAAACTACCAATCCTGTGGTTCAGACTGACATGCAACCCAGTGCTCCATGCTACATTGCCACACCAGGATGCCAGTTACTAGATATAAACTAGATGATTTTTTGTTGTTGTTGTTAAGTGCCAAAAAATCTTTTCTGACTCACAGAGGCCTTGTAAAGAATTTCAAGAAGACATGGTAGGTATGAATCACTGATCTTACATCTAGCAGTCCAGTACTTATCCAGGTATATGTGAGGAAAATAAGAAATTGCACCTTTCCCATTTCCTGTATGAATCTGCTCTGCCAGGCCGTCTTCTCTCAAAACTTGAATGTGGTTGTACCATGTCTGACCATCTAGTCACCATTCAGTCTCCTTCTCTCGCCATCCCTGCACATCATCTCCTCCAAGCAGGCATTCAATTCACTTCCCTAACCATTCAAGGTTACAGGACTTCCATCTATGTCTGGTTTTGGGTTTTTTTGTCTG